GCAGCACATTGATATTTGGAAAGTAGAACATGCTTACTCTTAATTAAATTCCACTGAAGTTGTTTATTGTACCAAATTATAAATCATATACAAAAGATTGTTTTTTAAAAACTCTCAAAGATTGGGGCACCTGGGTGGCTCAGTTAGTTAAGCGTCCAACTCTCATTTTGGCTTAGGTCATGATCTTGTGCAGGTCATGAGACTGCATCCTGCATTGGGCTTGCACTTGGCAGCACAGGAGTCTCCTTGGGATTCTCTCTCTCCGCCCCTCTGGTGCACGTGCACACATGCACACACTCTCTCTAAAAATAAATAAACATTAAAAAAAAAAAAACTCTCAAAGGGGTGCCTGGGTGGCTCAGTCAGTTAAGCGTCTGACTCTTGATTTTGGCTCAGGTCATGATCTCAAGGTTCGTGAGTTCAAGCCCTGCATCAGGCTCCATGCTGACAGTGTGGAGCCTGCTTGGGATTCATTCTCTCTCCCTCTCTCCCTCTCTCTGTCGCTCTCGCTCCTGCTCTCAAAATAAATAAATAAATAAATAAATAAATAAATAAATAAATAAATAAACAAACAAACAAACAAACAAACTTAAAAAAAAAAAAACTTTTCAGATCACCTTACAAAGCCTTTTAAGACCTAGGTCCTAGCTGACCTTGCCAAACCCACATAACATTTTCTCCTTTGCTCCCCAAACTCCAGAAATAGTGGTCATTCTTTCTTTTCCTTGAACACACCAAACTCATTCTTGTAAAACTATCTTAGCACCTTCTCTTCCCTATTTGGAAAAGCTATCTCTGTGATCATGGCATGCTGACTCTTCATTTAGTCCTTGCTTAAAATGTTAGCTTCCTAAGTTTCTCTGAACATGCAATCTAAAGAAACCATATTGTCTCTCTCTGTAACATCACTCAATTATACTCTTTACATAGAACTTATTATTTCATGTTTTACTTGTTCATTATTAGTCTTTGCCCATAAAATTTGTAAACCACAGGAATGCAGGGATCTTGTCCTTTTTGTTCATCACTATATCCTTATGGCTAGAACATAGCAAGCACTTGATAAATATTTGGAATGAATAAACGTGTATATCTAAAAGGCTGTATGCAGTCAGGAGTCCATTTATCAGGTTAATAACTGTATAAAATAACTGTATAAAGAATGGTTGTGTTGGTAAAAACTGAGCCACTACTAGCCACCATGCAAAAATCCAAAATACTAATTTTTCACCCAAGGTGCAAATATCATAATTCAGGCATTTAAGGACACTTGCAGGGGCGCCTGGGTGACTCAGTCAGTTAAGCAACCAATTCTTGATTTCAGCTCAGGTCATGATCTCATGTCATGGTCATGGGATCAAGCCCTGCATGAGGTTCTGTGCTGAGCGTGGAGCCTGCTTGGGACTCTGACTCTCTCTAATAAACAAGCAAACAAAAAAAACACACTGCAAATTTGTTTATATTTATTGACTGGACATCTTGGTTGGAAACAATATACCCAGACTCTAGACTGTTTATTCTCCTTCTTCTTAGTCTTCTAGAGTTTCCATATTCAATCACTGTTTTCTTTTCAATACATTTTATGTGGAAAGACAAATCATTCTTCTCTTCCTCCATTTATTCTTTAAAAACAAAAAGTCTATTGCTGTTCTCAAATATTTACTCTCCTAAACGAACTTGAGCATTAACTGGTCAAATTTCTTAAAATGACAACAAAGTCACTGAGATTTTGTCTAAAATTGCATTTAAGGAGTAAACCAATAAAGAATGTAATAGAGGTCTCGAGTATATCTTTAGATACATTTATAAAGGCTTTATAACTATTAACTTTATTACTGGATATTTAATTGTTGCTGTAAATAAAATTTTGGTCTCTCCAATATATACTCCAATTGATCAGAGTTGAATGAAGGAAACTATTAATACTATTAGTCTTGTAGCCTACCATCTTGCTCAACTTTATTATTTCTAAAGTTTCAGATGACTCTTATAAGGAAGACAGTATCATCTAAATACAATTTTATTTTCAGATATCTTTAGACAGCAATTTATAATACTATAATAAATTGGTACCACCTCTCTCAACAATTTAATAGCACTTATCAAGAGCATTAAAAATATTTGTAACCTAGTCCAAAGAATCCTTTCACAGAGAATTTATCTTAAGAGAATCATTTAGAAATTTACACCCAAAGTTGTACTTGAATGTGTCATATATAAAAGTCATGAAGTAATGAGTAAATAAATTATGAATACCTGCAGGATAACCTATTATGCATTCATTAAAAATCATTTTTAAAAGTCAACTTAAGCACCCCTGGGTGGCTCAGTCAGTTAAGTGTCTGACTTCAGCTCAGGTCATGATCTCACAGTTTGTGAGTTCAAGCCCCATTTTGGACTCTGTGCTGCAGCTCAAAGCCTGGATGAAGCCTGCTTTGGATTCTGTGTCTCCCCCTCTCTCTGCCCCTCCCCTGCTCGTGTTCTCTATCTCAAAAAATGAATAAACGTTAAAAAAAAATTTTTAATGAATTAATAAATAAAAGCTTATGAATAAATAAAAGTGAAAAATGTTACGATGCATTTAGGTGAAATGCATATATTAAAAAGCACACAGAAAAAAAACATTGAAAAAGAAATGCATCAGGATCCTAATAATATAATTTTCTATTTTGAGAGCCTTCAGAAAATTATAAAATCTCTATAATACTTATCTTTCAAACATACTCTTTATGCAAACATTTCTAGTATTTTACCTATGTTCTTTCAATGTATTCTATTCATCTTTGTACTTTATTGATACTTCAAAATTCTCTACAATATCCACATACTTTTTACACTAATAAATAATAAGTATTTTTAAAAATTTTAAATTGGAAAATCACTGCATGCTTCAGTTTCATAATGGGCCAACAGATTCTTTACCTAGGAAGGAAAAACCAGTTCTAATACCAGATTAAATATTCTAGGTTACTGGTGCTAACAAATATACTGTATTTAGAACCTATCTGTCCATGAGTCAGAAAGGAAGTCGAGTCATTCAAGTTGTCAAAGTCACCTACAACAACAACAACAACAAAATGGCAGCAATTTTTTGAAGTTTTTCAAGCTCTAGATATTAATACTGCTATTTATTATTTATTCCAGCTTAGTTTCAAACTCAAAGCACACCTCACTGTGCTCAGTACACAAATGAAAAAAAGCCTGGAAAAGACTTACTTTCCACAAGTATCTATTTTTTGTTTATTAAACCATTCTCTTATAAATAATTTAGTTCAAAAATCTATAGTGTCTCATGTGTTGAGGGATAAAGATAAAGGACCTTCTAGTACTCTTTAAAGATCAGAAAGAAGATGTAGCATAGTGTTCACATGAAGGGAACAAAAAGGCTTATGTGAAAAGAATTCACAAAGTAAAATGTACTGTCGCAAAAGTTCTCAGCTGATCTCCAACAAAGATAAACACAAAATAATTTTAGATAAGGATCCAAAGATTAATGGGCTAAATTCAACCTAAAGATAACTATGCTGCTGAATAAAGCACTCAGGTATATCCATTACAAGTTTTTTATAAAGAGTAGCTGCTTCGTATCTAATCCCTGGCAGTAATTTTAGTACAAGAGACTGACAGAATGTCAAGATTACTTTTTTTTTCCATCATCTATTACTTAAAGAAATTTCAAATTTTACAGTTTAGTCAGTTTTAAATCATTATCTCACTTGTTCCTCACAAATCTCCTTAAAATCGGGCAAATATTATTATCCTCATTTTACAGTAAGTTATGTGCCTACTGATACTGCTGGTTACTTAATTCCACATCTTCTGACTCCCGTTCCAGTATTATTCCAAGAGGGTAGGGATTTCTGTCTGCCCCTAGAATAGTGCCTGGCACATAAAGTCATTGAAAATATTTGCTGAATGTATCAATGAATAAATTTCCACTACAGAAATATGCATAAGCCAAAACCGTACAAAAAATCAGCATAAGCCCTACAAAGTTATTGTGAAAAACAGAATAATTTAAGATCTTTATATTATTGTGAGAATATTAGAGTACTTACATTTTATCTACTATAGCATACAGGAAAGTATTTACATAAAATGAGTCTGTTTTGTTTATGACTGTATAAAGAGTTAATGTATATTCTTTAGCAATTATATTTTAAAAATCTTACTAATGGATTTCCAAAAAATATGTAGCACTTATGAGTTAAAAATTTTAAAGATATAATGACCCATCTATATCTGACAGAAAATAATGCTTCATTCAAAGAGAAAAATAAACATAATGAGAAAATAATTTTTCTTCCCCAGTAGATTAAAATATCTGCACAATCCATTCACCTAAAACATGTAAGAATTGTGAAGTATTTCAGAATTATAAAATATGACTAAATTTTTTGTTGACAGGATCATCTTTATAATTCAGAACTGTGGTGTTCAGTAAGGGGGAATATATGCATTTTATAAAATAATACAAGTTGTCCTCTTTACTTTCTATACACCTTTAAAGAAACTATAGAGTTAAAATTATGTAATTAAACAACTGTGCATTCTTAAAAAATTATTTTGAAGTTATTTACATCATTCAACACTTCTGCTAAAGGACACGTGCCTGCCAATGTTATTACAAGGTGAACAATCAGCAATCATAAAATTGTTTTGGGTCAAAATAGGCATACATTGATGTTTAGAGTTTTAACTCTACATTTCAGGCATTCTAATTCCACTTCCCCCTCAACTCTATCTAGTAAAGTATAAAAACAAAAGTATATCAGTAAAAGTAAAGTAGTCCTATCAACATATATATATAACCATATTGAGAATTATGGTGAAACACTAGCCACCAAAGTCAAATATCATGTTCTATCATCAATATTTCCTTTTATTAAAATAATAAATAAACTTTAATGATGAACTCAATGGATATTCTTCAAAGCATATAAATAATCTGGTATCTTACTGTTATATCCATGCTCTAATTTCATCAATATTAAGCTTACCTTTCCTTTTGGTCCAGACTGCTTAAAACATGAAAAAGAAAAAAAATGTAAGAGGCAAGACCTCATTTTTGATATATCATTGTAGTTTTAGTAACTGCGGTCAATAAGGCAAAACTCTGATGTGATTAATTTGTTTTAAACACATTATATATATACTATATACTAAGTTTTGAATCTTGTCAGATAAGTAAATTATTTTTAAGTTTTTGTTAATATATAAAATTTATATCTAAACATATTTAAGAAAAAAGGATGTACAAAGATATGAAAGATTCTTGGGAGAGCTTTATTTAACCATCAACCAATTGATGATAGGTTATATTAGTTATATTGTCTTCAAAGAACAATAAAATTTCCTGAAAGTTATAAATTTTTAGTGGTTCCAATTCTGTTATCAGGTGTGATAATTAGCTTCTGAATAAGAAAAAAAATTTTTTTAAGGTTGGAACTTTTGCATAAAAGCCATAGATTAAATACAGCAGCATATGGTTTTAGACACAAGGAAAGGCCTTGGATTTAAAATCATGGCCTCCAATCAAAAATACAATTTATAACAGGTCCATTCTTCTCCACATTCAAGGAAAACCTAAAAAGCTATCAATATCAATTACTCAATAGTAAAATTACAAAAACCTTCAATTTAGAGTAAGATTCATAACCTAGAATTATTTATTATAAAATGAACAAAATATTCAAAACTGTAAGCAAAACATAGTTTATAAACTCCCTGAATCCCCATATAAACTCTCACATTCCAATAATGTGGAACAAACAAGTAAAACATCAATCATAGTAAATTAAGGGGAAAAAATAGTAATGTGGGTTTATACAAACAACACTGAAAAGACCTATTTTTTTTTTATTTCAATAGTAAAGAATTATAAGCTTACATGAATACCATATTTGAAATTTTATCTCTACCATTAAAAAAAATAGGATGATCTCTATAAAATAAATTTATGTTAGAAAAATAACAAAAAACTGAGGGAATATTACTACACCCCTATTAAAGTAAATAAAATATAAACATGAAACTTTAAGTCCAGTTTATCTTATATATTTATTTCTTCTGCAGCTTCAGGAAAACTAAAATGAAAACTGAAAGTTAGGCATTAATACCTAATATAGCCATTTCTAGCTCTACATTGTTGTGCCCAAGAAGTGAGAAGAGTTTAGTAGTCTATCGTTTTTGTTTTATAAACTCACCTGTATAGAGTAAAGGAAATAAGTAGAAGACAGAGTAGCAGTAGAAACAGGTTTGGTTCTTTCCAATAAACCAAGGGAGTTAGGAAGAAAACAAAAAACAAAACAAAAAAATATACATATGCCCATGCTCACTTCTCTTATCCTTGAAGAAAATGCATTTATTATGATAAGATATTTAATTTATCAGTAACTGTACTTCTATAAAATTCCTCAATATGTGTTTATTATCAAGTCCTGCACTGGAGGAACATATATATTAGAAAAAAAAAAGAAAAAAAAGTTTTTAAAAAATCGATAGGGAAGCCATTATTAGTAATGTAGGACTTTGTAAAAATGTCAACTTACATTCTTGTTGGACTATTTCATTCTTGAACTAGTGCTGTACTAGTGTTCTTAAAATTTTTTAAAAAGGAAGGAAAAAAGAGAGACTGATTGATTCTGGTATCCATGACCTGATTTAAGACTTCAAAAATTCTTTCAAAGTGGTGCTTTTCATTAATAATTAAATCTTGCTTATTCCAGGAGCCCATTTTCCCATTTATGGATTATATATGCTTTTGTAGACATTCATTTTCCCCTATGGTCCTTACAAGTCTTTTCACCTATCCTTAATAAAAAACAAAAACAAAAACAAGTGAAAATGTAAATAAAACATAAACCAGTAAATGTTTTCTTTTAGCAAGTCTCACTGAAGTTAGGGGTGGAGATGGTATAGAGTTATATAGACCTTTTAATTTCTGCATTTCATTTTTCCATACTAAGACTACCCTCCTTCATCACTATTAGTATACAAACAACCTCTTTTAAATATGACTTATATTAACATTTGTAGTAGCAGTAAGAAAATAGATTAAAATCCTAATGTTCGCCCAAAGAGTAGTTCTAATAGTAGTAATCTGATCAGATATTTTAACAATCTTCATTTATTCCCTTTGGATTAAAAAGGTGTGATGTACTTGTTCCCACATCTTACTAAACAACTGCAAATTATTCAAAATGCAGGTATGATTTACTTTTAAAAGACAAATTATACCACTCTCCCCAAGAAGACTGTGTGTATGAATTACCAGCTTATGGCATTTCCTTTAATTTCAAATTAAGAGTTGAGAAAATAGGAAAAATTAGGAGAAACTGTAAAAGCCAGTAAAAACCAGGATGCTCACCTCATCTGAAGCATGACAACTGTGCCAACACTATACCAGTTAAAACCAAAAGTTTCGTGGTAACCGTTTTGGTGAAAGCTTTCTTCATGCCTTTGGAGATGTGGTTCCTACTGCATGGAGTCTTTTCTAATGAGTACACTCAAAAGCTTCTTTGGGGGCACCTGGGGGGCTCAGTTGGTTGAGTGCCTGACTCTTGATTTTGGCTCAGGTCATGATCCCAGGGTATGTGAGATTAAGCCCTGCATCCGCTGGCTCTGTGCTGACAGCACAAAGCCTGATTGGGATTCTCTCTCTCTCTCTGCCCCTCCTCCGCATGCTCTCTCTCTCTTTCAAAATAAATAAATAAACATTAAAAAAAAAAAAGCTTCTTTAATACTTCCTTTGTGAATTCTTCACTGCCTCCTTCTCTGTAAATAGCACTATGCAAACTGTGTCTACTACACTGCACTTACCATGTAATCATTTGTTTACTTGTCTTTCTGTCCTCTACCCTAATCAAACTTGAGTTGGAAGGCAGGGACTTTGTTATATTCACCTCTGACTATTCTGTACCTCATCTATGTCTAGTATGTAACATAAAATCACTCAATGATTTTGAAGGAAGAAAATTGGAAAAACTCCCAGTGACCTGTTTTTGAATGTCAAAATCTTTTTAACGACAATCACACTTTAGTAAGTATAAGAAATGTTTATTCTGTAAATAAGAGACAAACATAAATACAATCTGCCCTGCTGACATGACTTTTCAGTTTTCCTTACTGCCCCTAGTTGTAAGAACAAGTATTTTCATTCTGGATTGTTTCTCTAAATATAAACTAATTCAGGTTTGTTTGTTTTTAAAGAAACAATATTTTACCAGTAAATGCCATTTCCTATTAACAGAATGTAGCCTTTTATGCAGATGAGCAATAATACATATGCAAGGTATAATAGGTGCCAAGACCTAGAATAAAACAAAACACAAACCAATTTCCAGACTGAAATCAGTTTTTTAACATTAACAATGATGAAAGGAGGTATGGAGAAACTAAGTCACACTGCAAATAACTCCAAACTAAAAAATAAGTCCAAAAGCAACAATAATTTTGGTTGCAGAATATATCACTTAATTATAAATTATAGATGAGTATTTCAACATGGACCACATTTCAGAAAAAAGACAAATCTTTGTCAGCAATGGATTCTATCAGTGTGATCAGTGTGTGAAAATAGTGTGTCTCTCCTTTTTGCCTCTCTACTAATTACTCTCTTTTTATTATTTATTCTCATGTTTGTGCCACATGTTGGCTAGAGAGCTTGATTTGTGTACTTTACAGTAAGATAAGACAAGTTTTTCGTATGTGCAGTAATTTCTCTTTTGGTCTTTTTAGTTGTATTTCTCAAATATGTGAAAACTATGATAAAATAATACATTTAAGCAAAAGATTTTATTATCGGAAAGTATGAGAAAGATTTAAGGTTTTTAGGCGGAAAATCTATTATGCTATAGCCAATCTATCTATGTACATAGCAAACATAGCAAGGGTTTCTAAGAGTCAGGACACATTTTATGAATGAGCAATAATCTCGACTGACATTTTTAAAAAATGAAGAACATATATACCAAATCTTCAAATTTTACTATTCATAAAAACATTTTACACAACTATTCATAAGGCAAAAATTTAGATTATTTATTTTATTGTTGAAGCCTAAGAATTTCTTAGTTGAAATGGACCCAGAACTGAAATTGAACTGAAATTTCATAACCATTCAAAAAATGGTTATGAAAAACCTCCAAAGCATTTAAAACACCAAGCTTTCCCCACTGTTACTTTCATTATTTCAAGGTTTAAGTATTACTTTCATGATCAATGAGAACATCCAAATCTACTAAAACTATTAAAACACAAAATTTTCCCAATTAAAGCTAATAATGTGATTTGTTTTGAAACTATGAAATCCAATAAATCTTAAAATGAGCTAATAACTAGTTTTACTTATCAGAGCAAACCTAACACCTGAAGATTTCTTGTCAAATGTTGTACAGTCAATGTTGTAAAATCAGATTAATTTAACTGGAATATAATGTAATAGAAAGGTTTTTATTTATGTCTCTATTCACAGAATGTGATTTGTTCAAAAGCAGATATAAAATAAAATTCTTAGGACATGAATTATTTCAGAGACATGAATATCTTGTTACAGACAACAGAAACACAGTAAAATTCCCCAAAGTAAAAAAGTTGGTTAAAGGAAAAACAAAAAAAAACAGTGAAGAAGTATTAAAGAGGATGGTATGTATATACTAAACAAAGGCAATTAGAATCCTTACCTTTGGGCTGCTGTTTTTACTAGTGACGTCTGTACATTAGCATGTTGAAAACGTCTACCATGAACTACAGTTCCAGAACATATTGATGCATTTTGTACATTTTCACTGCAGATGCAAGAAACAAAGAATAATTTGAACAGAGGAAAAATTACATACACACATGCAAAATAAATCCTTTCAAATCTGAACACACATACACAAAAAGCTCCACACTAAAATATGTGTTTTTACAGATCAATCCAATGACCATGTTAAATTGTCCACCAGGAGTTTTCCACTTTCTGAATTTGTCTCTGAAATGTTTCTAATACAATTCATGAAAGAAGATAAAACAGTAGAAGAACACTAGAATAGAAATCAGGAATCCAAATGAATGTTCTGTACTGTAAGATATCCTATAAATTAACTCAGATATATTTTTTCTTATTCTGTTAGTAACTATACATAAAAAAAGCTTTTAAACTGTATTACAAAGATTTCTTATATGTCAAAATAAAAATCAAATGTACTAACTGTAAAAAAAAGAAAAAGAAAAAAAAAAGTCAGGAAACCCAAATTCTACTTCTGATTTTGCCATTGACTTCAAAGTTACTTAGCCTTCATGTACCACAGTTTTCTATCTATAAGTTGACAAAACTGAAATTGAAACAGTGCTTTTCAATCTTATTTCTGGGAGGTATAACAGCACAATCAATCATATCAGTAAAAGTGGTTCACTAGGACAACCCCTAAGGATTATAACTAGAAAAGGAAGAGGAAAAAGAAATCTTAAAAAAAAAAAAAAAAAAAAAAAAAAAAAAGGAAAAGAAAAAAATCCCTTTTGAGATAATCCTGATTAAGTGTCCCCTAAAGGAGACATGACCCTTCTACCCTCCAGTGCCTTCTACTTCTAGTATTATGACCAAGATTTTACTAACTATATGAGAGGAAGCTCATCTAATGAAATCTCACTCTACTGGAAATTTTCTTGCAATATTTTTATTCAGAACCAAAAAAATCATTGCAGTCAACCATAATCCCAAATACAAAGCAAAGAATTCACGCCCTGGTACAACTTTACCTCTTGGCACTGGTAAAAAGGTGAAAGTATAGGCTGGGTCAACTGGCCACAAAGGCAGCTAATTTTTGGTGTCAAACCCTTTATCTTTTCTGTAATGACTATACCTCAATTTCTTATTGTTGCTCAACATGTTAAGTCCAATTGGGTTGCCTTTCAAAGGTTTTAAACTGTCAGCCTTATTTCGTCTCGCACATGTCTTCCAGGGATCACCAGAACTGGTAGAAACAATTTCAGATTGACGATTTAACTGTAAAAAGATCCATAAATGTTAAAGAGTCAATAAACACAATATGGTTGTTTGAAAACTCACTTATTAAAAAAGCTGTAAAAATAGTACCAGCTGTTGGAGACGGGAGAGAAGGATGACAGTGTCATGAATTTAAGAATAATTCAACTGTAATACTTTTTTTTTCCTAAAGAGAACACAAATATGTAGGACCAGGGGTGTTCATATTATTTTCTCTTCATTTAAGTGTCTCCAAAGGTCTTTAAGATAATTAAAAGAGAAAAACAGAAGACATGAAGGGTAGACTATCTTCAAACAGAGCTTTACTGAGAGTAAAGAAAAATATTTCCCCTGCTACTGCTATTTGTAGGACAAGTACAGCCAAATGTGTTAATAAGTCATCATTTCAAGTTACACAAGGACTTTGGCCTTAGCATCAAAGTTTCTATACAAACACAGAAACTGAAATGTCTTGATACTTTCATTGTTGCCAGTGATAATATATAGCATATCAGCAATCACTTTCGGGAGATTACAGTGTGACAACAGGATGGCCCATTCCTTGGAAAATTCTTTTAAACAAAGAAACCTACTCTTACTACATTCATCACATCAGACATTTAAAAGCTACTTTCAGACTCATTAAGACAAAGGTCCACAGTTCTTAGTGATAATTTACCCAAAAACAACACTTTCAAAATCCTTCTTATTTATTTTTATTTTTTTTATTTTAATGTTTATTTTTGAGACACAGAGAGAGAGAGAGAGAGAGAGAGAGAGAGAGCGCACAAGTGTGAGAGGGGCAGAGAGAGAAGCAGACACTGAATCCGAAGGATGCTCCAGGCCCCGAGCTGTCAGCAAAGAGCCCAATGCGTGGCTCGAACCCACAGACCATAATAAGATCATGACCTGAGCCAAAAGTCAGGATGCCCAACCACTGAGCCACCCAGGCACCCCTCTTATTTACTTTATTTTTGAATCAGTGGCCTAATATTTTATTTTCCACTCATATACAAGAAAATACAATTGTAAGAAGAGAGGAACTTGGCTTTTATTCCACAATTGATCTCCATAGAAACCTAACATTTCCCTAAAAAAATCTCTCTCACAAAAAAGTCCTCCTGAGTACAGAGTTCATTTTGCCAACACTATTCTTATTTTCAGGCAAATCTACATTACAAAATTCCAAAAAGATCTATTTTTGACACACTGCTTATCACTTTCTCCTCCTTGAGACATTTTGTTACTTCCTAATCTTTTACAGCCATGTGCTTCAGACTCTTCCATTTCTGGCAATGGCACATTAAGTAATGCAGATCAATTTCCTTCCATTATCTGAAAACAACTAGAAAAAAACCTGGACAAAATGCAAACTAAAAAAATGTATGTTTGAGACAGCTGAGGACTCTGAAGGCAGTGAAGAATTAAGAACTAAGATCAGGAACAAGAAACACAAGAGACCTGAGCCCAGATTTGTATTTTCCCCTGATGCATCTATTGATTCCAGAAGATGCAACTGAGAGGCTAAGTCGGAACTTCCAACAGAGAGCTAGAGAAACAAAAAGCAGGGATGCACATCTACCATATGTGACTGGCCTCATAAACCTTCAAAATTTGGATCAGAATGATAGGCTATGAATAATAGCCTTCATAAACCTGAAATCCAGCTTCTAATCATCTCAACCTTCAGTTCAATTAAGGAAGTTCCAAATGTTTAATGTAAATCAGAATTACTTGCATAATTAATTACAGAATTAAATTGCTGTGTCCAACCTTTTACAGTTTATTCTTATTCATTAGGTCTAGGGTGGGCCTAGGAATCTGTATTTCTAGCAAGTCCCCAAGTGATGCTGATACCACATTTGAAGAACCACTGGATTAAGGTGATCTGAGACTGAGATTGCTAATGCTCCTAGTAACAAGCCAGAAGTAAATATATTTCTCTTCCAAAAAGATAATTTTCTAGGCCTCCAACTACCTCCATGATTTTTCATATGCAATTAACATTCATAGCAGACTCAAAGAAATTAGACACATGATCAAGAGAAACAATTAAAAAACGGGAAAAAAACCCACAGGGGATAAAGGTAATGGGATTATCACACTCTCATTTCTGTTAGAAGAAGAATACAATCTCTTTTGCATTTGGTGAATAGCATTATTGTGGAAAGATAACAATTTAGGAATCAAACAGACTTGTCTCTTTCTAGCTGGGTAACCTTCCTTATAGTCATAGGATTATTGCATGCATTAACAAAAATATACACAAACTGCCTATCCCTGCAATGGGCACATGGGTAGGAATTCAGTTATCAACAGTTCCCACTCAATTAGAAATACAGGTATCCTCTCTTAGCCTAACAACTGGTCATTAAGATGCATTCATCTGAGGAAAATTAGGCCTATCTAGTCATTGTGACCTAGCCCTTTCCCCATGTTATTCTGAAAAAATGCCTTAAGTCAATGAATGGTTCTCAAAGTGTGGCTGCTGGACCAGCAGAACCAGCATCATTTGCAAACACTTAAAATGCAAATTATCAGGCCCCACTCCAGATCTCCTAAATAAGAAACTCTGGAAGTGGGGTCCAGCAATATTTTTATCAAACCTTCCAGGTGATTCTGACAAACACTAACACTGGAGGATCAATGCTCTGGGTGATTTTGATATATATAGCCTGTTAAGAATCTCAGAAGCAAAAAGTTTCCATTAACGAATAATCATATAAAGGCACCCGGATGACTCAGTCAGTTAAGAATCTGACTCTTGGTTTCGGCTCCTGTCATGATCTCACGGTTTCTTGAATTCAAGCTCCATGTCGGGCTCCGTGCTAACAGTGCAGAGCCTCCTTGGGATTCTGTTCTCCCTCTCTCTGCCCCTCCCCCGCCTGCGCTATCTCCCTCTCAAAATAAATAAATTAAAAAAAAAATTTTTAATGTTTATTTTTTGAGATAGAGACAGAAGTGCAAGTAGGGGAGGGGTAGAGAGAGAGAGAGAGACACAGAATCTGAAACAGGCTCCAGGCTCTGAGCTGTCAGCACAGAGCCCAATGATGGGGCTCGAACTCACAAACCATGAGATCATGACCTATGTAAGCGGACGCTTAACTGGCTGAGCCACTCAGGCGCCCCTCAAAATAAGTAAATTCTAAAAAAACTTAAAAAAAAAAAAAGGGCTGATCATACAATTTCATTCTATCTAGGCAATTATAAAAGCTAATATTTAGTGAATACTAACTATGAATAGGCATTGTTAGTTACTTTATATTCAATCTCCATATTTTATACATTTCAGTAGTTCTTCAGATTGGGATTCAGCAACCACACCTAAAACAGGTCAATTACTTGCTGCTGTTGAGTGATAGGATTAATTTCCCACTTCAATTCTCTCCTTAACAAAATCTCTCCACCACATGTCATTTAAACTCTATTGACATTCTATCCTTGTGCTATGAAGATCAGTGAGCTAAAAAAGCAAAGTAACCTGTCCAAACTAGTTAAATGGCTTTAAACATTTAAAGACCAGTCTGATTCCAAAGTCTATGTGCTCCCATACTATACTGCATGAGAAATTTTTATAATGCTGTTTATAATGCTGTAGAAATATAAATAATGATGCTTAACAAGAAAAAAGCAGAAACAAACTGTGTTATTCCAGAAAGGACTCACCATTGGAATACCAACTATTCTACAGATACCAAAAAGGAACTGCACTAAATATTCCTTTATATAAATGTAGAAAGTTCATCTTTCCTTTTAAGAATTGTTTAAGTCAAGGGGCACCTGGGTGGCTCAGTTAAGCGTCCAACTTCAGCTCAGATCTCGCGGTTGCCCCACATCGGGCTCTGTGCTGACACCTCAGAGCCTGGAGCCTACTTTGGATTCTGTGTCTCCCTCTCACTCTGCCCCTCTCCCACTTGTGCTCTTTCTATGCCTCTCAAAAAAAAAGCGTAATAAAAAAAAAATAAAATAAAATAAAATTCAAGATGATATATTCAATCTGGGTGTTCCTGAAAAATTTTAATTTTTCTTCCCCTCTGCCCCTCTGTTTAATAGCCTAACACAGTTTTCTAGCTAATGCAAGCATAAGATCAGGAGAACTGTAGACAGAAGGATTAGCACAAAACAATCGTGATTACAAAACCAACTTTAAATATAGGCATTAGCCACTGGTGGAAGACTCAGTGGAGCCATGCACTATATAGGTTACATAGCCTCACAATTCTCACAACCATCCTATAAAATGGACAATTATTGGCAGGTCTAGAATCTGATATTCTGATGAACTACTCTAATACTTTACTCATCCAAAAAAAGCTGTTTCTCTCAACTGAGTATCAATCCACATGGAAAACCTTTACACAGTACAAACAATAGGACAGGGATCAGCAAACCTTTTTTGTAATTTTTTTTTAATGTTTATTTATTTTTGAGAGAGAGACAGAGAGTGAGCAGGAGAGGGGCAGAGAGAGAGGGAGACACAGAATCCGAAGTAGGCTCCAGGCTCTGAGCTGTCAGCACAGAGCCCAATGCAGGGCTCAAACCCACGAACCATGAGATCATGACCTGAGCCAAAGTCCAATGCTTAACTAACTGAGCTACCCAGGCGCTCCAGCAAATCATTTTTGTAAAGGGTCACATAGCAAGTATTTCAGACTTTGTGGGTCAACAGTCTCTGTTGAAACTACTCAACTCTGTCCAAAAAATTCAAATCTGTGTTATAGCATGAAAGCAGTAACAGATAATACATAAACAAATAAGCACAGCTGTTTTCCAATAAAATTTTATCTATAAACACAAATTTAAATTTCATATAATATTTGCATGTAATAAAACAGTATTCTTTTGACTTTGGGGGAAATCATTTAAAAATGGTTCTTAGGCCATAGATTGTAGGCCAAATTGGCCTGTAAGCCTTAGTTTGCCAATTCTGTATTATATATTCATCAAGCAACAAATGAGCATAGTCAGTTACTAGAATTTAAGCTCCACAGGAGAAAGAAACTTGACTACTTTGTTCACTAGCATCTGGAACACTGTGATCAATACATATTTGTTGCATGAATAAATTTTTCATTGGGACTATGAAATGTGCAAAAATTATCAACATATGGTTATCATCCACCTGAACTTATCACACATCAAATAAATCAATTTAAGGAAAAAATAAGTATTCAAGAAATATAGCACGTAAGAATTTCAGATAAGAAGATAACCTAAAAGAATCTATTAAATGATTACACATTTTTTTTTATTAAAAAAAAATTTTTTTTTAACGTTTATTTATTTTTGAGACAGAGGGAGACAGAGCATGAATGGGGGAGGGTCAGAGAGAGGGAGACACAGAATCTGAAACAGGCTCCAGGCTCTGAGCGGTCAGCACAGAGCCCGACGCGGGGCTCGAACTCACGGAGTGTGAGATCGTGACCTGAGCTGAAGTCGGCCGCTTAACCGACTGAGCCACCCAGGCGCCCCAATGATTACACATTTATAACGTACATTACAGGGGTTTTTGGGTGGCTCAGTTGGTTAAGCATCTAACTACTGATTTTCGTTTATGCCATGATCTCATGGTTTGTGAGATTGAGCACTGCATCATTGCGGAGCCTACTTAGGATTCTTTCTCCTCTCTCTCTGCCCCTTCTCCCACTCGTACTCCCTCTCTCTCAAAATAAATAAATGTTTTAAAAAAGTTCATTAAAGGGGTGTCTGGGTGCCTCAGTCAGTTGAGCGTCAGACTTCCGCTCAGATCATGATCTCGCGGTATGTGAGTTCGAGCCCTGTGTTGATAGCACAGAGCCAGGTGCCTGCTTTAGATTCTGTGTCTCCTTCTCTCTCTGTGCCTCTCCTTCTCCGCTCATACTCTGTTTGTCTCTCAAAAATAAATAAACATTAAAAAAATTGTTTAAAGAAAAAAAACACACCACATAAACTGAAAACCAATGTCACAGAAGTTAGTAACTGAAAACACCCTTTTATTTTTCCCTGCAGAGTTTACTATATTTCTGTCCACCTAAAGAACCCCTAAACAGTAGCACTCTAAGCAATCCAGATGTCAAAATAAAAGCTAGAGGGGCACTTGGGTGGCTCAGTCAGTTAAGCGTTTGACTTCGGCTCAGATCATGATCTGTGGTTCCTGAGTTCAAGCCCTACGTCAGGCTCTGTGCTGATAGCTCAGAGCCTGGAGTCTGATTCGGATTCTGTGTCTCCCTCTCTCTCTGCCCCTCTCCTGCTCACATTCCATCTCTCTCTCTCTCTCTCTGAAAAATAAACATTAAATAACATTTTTAATAAAAAAAAAAAAAAGCTAGGGAAAACTGCAATGTGAAAAAAACCTCATAGTTTTTCATTGTAACTTCATAAAGAAAAATTTTAGAGTACTAAGAGAAAATCTTCAAATTCTATAAATTCCCTTAATTACAACAAAATAGAGATGTTGTAGAAGAAAAAAAAACCACAAAGATGGAGGGAAAGTAAATTTAAAAGCCCCTATAATAGTATTCAACTGTAAATACAAGAAATCTATGAAGAGGGTACTATGTCAAAATAGTAAAAATTCAACTTTGACCACATACTTCCCAAGATTACAAGAAAATAGGAACTTTCATATATTATTAGCGGGAATGGCAAATGCTAACTCCTATGAATGAGGCATTTGGTAATAACTAGCAAAATTACATATATATTTACCCTCTGAAACAGCAACTGCAATTCTAGGAATCTATCCCAAAAGTATACTGTAAAGATATGAAAAGATATAAGCATAAGGCTTTACTTATTTATTTTAAAGCATAAGGCTTTATTAAAGCACTACTTATAGTAACAAAAGACTAGGAAACACCTCTGCTCATCACTAGGCAATCAACTAAATATCTACTGTTTATCCACTCACGGGAATACTATGTAACAACAAAAGAGATGATACAGAGGTTTTTTTAAAAATGTTTTATTAATTTTTGCTAGAGGGCGTGAGCCGGGGAGGGGCAGAGAGAGAGGGAGAGAAGATTAGAAGTGGGCTCTGCACTGACAGCAGTGAACCCGAGGCAGGGCTTGAACAGACGAACCCGTGAGATCATGACCTGAATCAGATGCCCAACTGACTGAGCCACCTAGGTGCCCCAAGAGATGATAAAGATCTCTAAATACTTTGCAGACTATACTGTTAAGCAAAACAATCGAAGTATCAAATAGTGTGGGCAGTTTCTCCAAGAAAGGCTGTATATTCTATTAAAAAAGTGAAGAGGGGTGCCTGGGTGGCTCAGTCGGTTGAGCGTCCGACTTCAGCTCAGGCCATGATCCCATGGTTTGTGGGTTCGAGCCCTGCATTGGGCTCTGTGCTGACAGCTCGGAACCTGGAGCCTGCTTCGGATTCTGTGTCTCCCTTTCTCTTTGCCCCTCCCCTACTCACGCTCTGTCTCTCTGTCTCTCTTTCTCTCTCTCAAAAAATGAATAAATGTTAAAAAAAAAAAAAGGAAGGAAGAAAATTAAAATGAAAGGCTAAACCATGTAATTTTTAAAAAAGGTTACCTATTAGTGAAAGAGAAAAGGATAGAGGAAATCAGAACAAAACCTAGACTTCTCTGAATAAAACTTCTTTTATAGATAGGACTTTCAAATCACAAAAATGTTTTTTGTATAATTATAAAACAAACTCATTTTAATTGATTTAAAAAAAAAAAAAGTAGTAGGGGCACCTGGCTGGCTCAGTCAGAGCTGCATGTAACTCTTGATCTCAGGGTTATGGGTTCAAGTCCCAGGTTGGGTGTAAAGATTACTTAACACAAATAAACAAAAAAAAATTTTTTTAAAGTTCACTCAAAAAAACAAAAACAAAAACACACAACATAGTAATTTAAATACTCATTCCTAATAGGATATACCTGACGGTGCCACCAAACACCAACAAGCAAACAGAAGGAAAAAAAATATTAATCATTTTATTAGTAATTATATTCGTATTGGTATTGTGAAACAATCTTGTAGGACAAAGCAAGTAAGTAATTAAGTTAACATCATTAGGAAAAAAGACACTAAACCCAAAAGCCATTAAAGGAAAAAAGATCAATATTTTGACAACATAAGAAAACTTTTTATCCAAGGCAATAATCGTCAAAAGCAAATGCAAAAGACCAGTCAAAAAAAAATGGTTTAAACTATTAGCAGATAGTAAGTATCACAGCAAGGGGCCAAATTCTCCAAAAGACTCTATTTCATCAATCTATGAAACCATTATAAGACATGTATCATTGTAAATACAAATGTGCAAACAAATTTTTCTAAATGAACTATGTCATGCCATTATTATTATGCATCTAGATAGATTTCAGAGATGTTAAAAAAGTGTTACTTAGACTCAATATAGTAAGAATTCATATGAATCAATAATATTCTACAGACTAAATTAAAAAAATGGGCAAAGATATTAACTGACAGTTATCAAAAATGAAAAATAAATGGACTACACATATGAAAACACATTTAACCTTACTCATCATAAAAGAAATGCAAATTAAGACTATATTGAGAGATGCCTGGGTAGCTCAGTCAGTTAAGCGTCTGACTCTTGATTTCAGCTCAGGTCATGATCTCATGATTTGTGAGATTAAGCCCCATCTGAGGCTGCACTGACAGCACAGAGCCTGCTTTGGGATTCATTCTCTCTCTCTCTCTCTCTCTGATTCTCTCTCCCTCTCCCCGCCTCCCCCACTCACTTTCTCTCTCTCTCAAAATTTAGAAATATATATATATAAATCTTTTGAAGTATTAGTTTTTAGTATACAACCTAAAAAAATTACCAAAAAAAAAAAAAAAATCAGAAAAGCAACACTTGCCTTTTTTCCTTTTGAGGTCTCAGAATCCTCATCTTCACCCACACTGAGTAGATTTGCCTCACTACACAGAAAACAAGGGGGAAAAAAACCTTAAGTGACAATTACAACCCATACATTAATTCAGAAGTTTTATTCTCTTTGCTCACCTAATTCAGGGATCAGCAAATGTTTCCTATAAAGGGCCAGAGAGTAAACATGGTCTTTATACCAACTACTCTGCCATTTTGGTATGAAAGCAGCCACAGACCACAGGTGTGGCTGTGTTCCAATAAAACTATTAACAAAATCTAATGATGGGCCAGACTCAGCCAATGGGCCATCGTTTGTTGCCCTTGCTATAAATGAACATATAATTTTTGTTTTCCTAACTGTAGATTCCATTTACAGTCACTCATTTTTCCTTTCTGTCTTGGATTTAAAATTAGGGGAAAAGAACAGAGAAACAAAATAGAGAAAAAGCTGGTAAGAAAACCTTAGCTGATATAAAGAAAGTAATTCCAATGGTGTTACCACAGTAAAACAGTTACACCTTTGCAACTCCTGGAAATATCAACACTTTAGAACCACTGGCCTGAGACTCTAAAAGATCAGACTATCTATTTAATCTCAAAATATTAAAAAAGCTGAAGCTCCTAAGGATCCTCTTATAATGATAAACCAAAGAGTATGATTCATAAATGAAATATACAGAACAAGTAATATAATCATGACAAATCTAACAAAGAATGTCAAAATACATTCTTCTAAAGACAACTGTTAACCTATTTTTAGTAAAATCTTAGTTATTTATAATAAAAATGTAAAATATTTGTTTCATTGCTGTTTATACACATCCCAACTTTTTTACTAGTAAAAATTCTCTTTTTTCCAAACATTTTACAAAAATATTTAAAAGGTGATATACTTTCTACTCAATTTTGGATCTAATTCAAAATTTTCAAAATTACATAAGAAAAATATATTATTTATAGTGATAAAATATAATACTAATATTATATATATAATTATAATAAAATACTTGTATTTTATTTATTATATAATAATAAAAGACAGGAGAGAAAGATGACCACAAAATGCCAATTTTAGGTGAAAACCTTACCAGTTCGAAGTTCTCCTTCAAATAAAAGTTTACAGTCAGTTCAATATCTCATAGATGAAAACACATGAAAGTGGTAATGATGAATGGAGCTGTTGCCCAGACAGAAAAGTGAAGCACCTACAATATTTATTAGCCAATATCTTCTGAATGACTTTTTGTGTAGAAATTTTTAAAAATACTTATAGTTTGGTAGAACTCCTTGTATATATTTATGTATCTCTGAATTTGTTCTGGCCCAGTGGAAAACCAGATCAACAAACCAAGGCACCTAATAGCAATGGTGACTTTGTAATACAAATCTCATGATATGCAAAAGGTTGTATTAAAACTATCATTTAAATTTTACAAAGCAGTCATTCTAAGCACACTAACAAAGTGTAATAACTACTCTGGGGGCGCCTGGGTGGCGCAGTCGGTTAAGCGTCCGACTTCAGCCAGGTCACGATCTCGCGGTCCGTGGGTTCGAGCCCCGCGTCAGGCTCTGGGCTGATGTCTCAGAGCCTGGAGCCTGTTTCCGATTCTGTGTCTCCCTCTCTCTCTGCCCCTCCCCCGTTCATGCTCTGTCTCTCTCTGTCCCAAAAATAAATAAACGTTGAAAAAAAAAATTAAAAAAAAAAAAAAATAACTACTCTGTTTAACTTTTGCCTGAGTTAACATCTGTGTTTATCATTTATATAGTTTCTGCTTTCTCTGGTAGTAATGTGATCTAAGATGGATAGGGCAACTGGGAAGAAAGATACACTATAGGACTTAAACTTTCACAAAAAATTCAGGGGTCTTAATGTGGGTTCACTTACTCATGATAAACAGTAGCTTTTCAAATCAGAAATGTTATTTTAAAAAAAGAAGAATTTCTTTAATTGAAAATCTTTAATGATCAATTTTTAATAAGCTTACATGTATTACATGCACATAATTATTTCAAAAGACACATAATCATTCACATGCACATAATCATTCAAAAGAGAAATGAAAAAGCAAAATTATTTAATAAAAATCTGCTTTTTCTTTCCTTGATGCTACTATAAAAGATGTTTTCTTAAGAATACCATACTCTTAAAAATACTTCCATGGAATATAAATCATTTTCCAATGAAATGTCATTCTTATAAAATATGTGACGGAAGAAAAAAAGTTCTTACTCTTTATCTGTATCTCCTTCACTTTCGTCTCCATGATCAAAGCTCCAATTATTTTTAAAACCTCCATCTCTCTTAGATTCTGATCTAGCCAAAGCTGAAATAAAACAGAGATAAATATTCATTAACAAAGCTATTCAATATGAAATAAAATTTAGCATTTCTCAAGCTCTTTGATTAGATGTTTTCTTAATTTTCTTGCTTTTTGAATATTTCTTATAAACATCTTATCTCCAAAATGAAAAAGAACACATTAAAATCTGTTTCTGCTAATTTACAGTTGTCCATATGCATGAGTTTGTTACCAAGAAGAAACTCAAATTGGTAAGATTTGATACAATAAAAACAGAGGCGGAGCATATGAGTATGTATAAAATATATAAAAACCAACCCTGTATGTCCATATTTGATCACTGATCAAATTACTACCTGTTACTTTGTTATTTTGTTTATAAATCATTTATGAGAACTATATCCAGACACTAGCCTTTTCTTCAGTCAATCATCTCTGCCTTTTAACAGAAGAGAAATCAATGTTTAACATCTGCGTTGACAATATGGTGAACTCAATGTCCAGGAAAATCCTCTAGATCAGAACACCACATATACTCATGATGAGTTTTAAAATTTTAAGTGAGTGGCTAAAACCCTCTGAAACCATAAACAACCAGAAAGTGGGAACTGAGAGATAAATGAGTTCTGAAGCTGGCATTTGTCTCAGAGTCAAAAACCTCATGGCCTAGATCCTGGGCTTTAAGATCAAGTTTGGGATGCCAGCAAGATGAGAGGTTAAACTGATGACCAGAAGATCTGAAGGGCAACCTTAAAATTAGGTGAACTAGGAGAAAAAAAGAAACTGAAAGAAAGTAGGAATAATTCTGATGTCTTTCCTTTGCTCTGGGTTTTTAGGTTAAACTGATGACAAAGTGTATTTATCTCATGGTTAGGGAATTCCTAACCACAAGCTCACAATTACTCAGGTTTGGGACCAGAATTTTCATAACCATAACCTACAGGACCCAGGAAAGTCTATAATTAAAACAGTCTCACAAGAGGCTGAGTATCACTAGATGTTGGAAAAATGCAAATCAAAACTATAATGAGATACTCAGTCATTAGGAGAGCCATTATTTTTAAAAAACATGAAATAGTAAGTGTTGGTAAGAATGTGGAGAAACTGGAAATTCTGTGCATCGCTGGTGGGAATGTAAAACAGTGCAGCCACCATGGGAAGTTCGGCAGTTCCTCAGAGTTAAACAGAATTACCCTGTGTTCCAGAAATCTCATTTCTAGGTTTGTACCCAAAATAACTGGGACAGCACGGACTCTGATACTTACATACCAACATTCATAGTAGCATTAATCACATAGCCAAAGGTGAAAACAACTCAAATGTCCAGCAAAAGATGAATAAATAAATAAAATGTTCTGTGTATATATGCATATACATACACACACAGAGGAATATTATTCAGCCATAAAGGAATCAAATTCTGATACATGCTACAACATGGATGAACCCTGAAAACATTACAATGAGTTAAACAAGCTAGCCATAAAATAACATATATTGTATGACTCCACTTATATGAGGTATCAAGGATAGGCAAATTCAGAAGCAGAAAGTGCGACAGAGGTTAACACGGGTTGGAGAAGGAGAAGAATGGAGAGTTATTTTTTTAATTGGCATATGGTTTTTGTTTGGGATGATGAAAAAGTTCTGGAAATGAATGGTGGTAATGATTGTACAACATTATGAAAGTACTTAATGACAATCCAAATTGTACACTTGAAAATGGTTAAAATTGTAAATTTTGTTATGTATATTTCTGCTACAATAAAAAACCATTTTTAAAGCCCCACCCTGCAAAAAGCCTCTATGTGACTAACAGAATCAAATATAAATCCTCTCTAAAAATTTCAATACAGCCTCAAAAAGAGTTTCAAAGAATAGGAGTTCACAACCAAAATTATGAAATGGGAAGGAAGAAGTCACTATGAGCAAATCTGAAACTTCTTTACATGTATACTGGGGTTGGACAAATAATAGTGTATAATGGATGCAAGGTTTCTCCCTGTCAGAGAAAGAGGTTACAAATAAGCAACAGAAAAGAAAACCAGAATGAACTCTGTTTATTCTAATGGTACTAGAGAAAGAGATATCAGTATGAATCCATATTTGTTTGACATATATACAGATAGGTAAAAGAACAAATATAGGCATGTCTTGTAGCATGGGTTAGTATACAGAACTAAGGCTCTCTTCTCTGAGAGGTCTAAAAAGCAGTGACAGCCTAGTGGCAACAAGTACACTTACAGCCAGATCCTGATTTTTAAATATCATTCTCTAATAAACGGAGCTCAGGCTCCTAGAAGAAATGACTGATTCTAAGGATGGGGCAGGGAAAATACAAGATAAACCTGGAATATTCTGTATACTAGGAAATAAGGAGGTTCTTTTTCCACACACACACACACACAAAAGATGGGGGAATATCAAAAGGTTACAGGAGCCAAACTGAACCTCCCAATAGTTGAACAAGGGTGAAACAATTTTAGCAAAAATAAGCAACAGTATTGAATTATAACTCCCAAAAGTAAACAAATATTCATGAAGTCATACTGACATAAATGACTGAATGAATAAATAACTAAATGGGAAAAAGGGACATACTTTCCTTAAAAAAGAATTCCAAATGATATATGCACAAACTCTTTCCTATAAGAGATGAAACTTAATTCCCTTTCCCTTCAGTATAGACTGGACTTGGTAACTCAATTACAAGCATCGACTACAGAAAGGGGAAAAAAAGTCAATTGACAGTGATATCTGACAATCACTACCTCAGCCATAATTAAGGTTAAAATCAAAAGTGATGTTTTATTCACAGGATGTAGTATTTAATACGATGTGATGAAAATGCCACTTCAGCTCTGTGGTCTTCTTCCCAAAAACCCATAATGCCAGTTAATCATGAGAAAACATCAGATAAACTGAGAAACAGTCTACAAAATACCTGACTAGTATGCTTTTAAAAAGGAAGGAAAGATTAAGAAACTATTATAGATCAGAGGAGACTAAGGAGATGTAACGATCAAAATGCGGTATCCTGGATTGGACCTTGGAATAAGAAAAGGACATTAGTGAAATAACCAGGGAAGTACAAATAAAGTCTGTAGTTTGGGTAATAGTATTATAGTTATGTTAATTTCCAAGTTTTTAACAAATGTACTATGATCATATAAGGTGCCAACATTAAGAAAAAATGAATAGTATATAGAAACTATGACATCTTCGAAACCTATGAATTTAAAATTATTCCCCAAAAAGAACATTAAAAAATCAAAAGTAAAATGAACCTGTTTTAAAAAAAGATGGTTAGGTGAAAGTTATGCTACCAAGACAGAAAAGGTAATTAAACTATAATGATTTCTAAGCTAATGAAGACTCATAATCGAGCAACTAGTATCCATCAACTAGGCAAGTTAGTCAAAAAGGCCACGAGGCAGCGAAAAGTCAAGAAATGCTTATTATTTATGCACTAAAGGAACTAGGGTTCTAAACACACAATTCTAACACATCTAGTCATATGATTTCCCAATCCACAGATTAGAACCTCTAAATGTATAAATGAAAGAACAATCAACAAATTAGAACCTCTAAATGTATAAATAAAAGAACAATAACCTCGAGAAAGTGATTACTGCCAATAAAAAAAAAATAAGTTAGAAAAAACAAACACATTTTTAAAACATAAGTTTAGGGCAACTTACAGTAGGAGCAAAACCTTAAATCCTTAAAAGTCCTGGAGAGCATTTCACATTTCAATATCCTGCTATAGCTGACATTAGTAATAATGAGAATAGAAAATTATGTCCACTAAACTCCACTTACAAAATTAAGTGGAAGAAGAGATAAAGGTTAAGAAGAGATCCCAGCAAGTATCACAAATCAAATAAATGCATTTTTCTCCATATGCTTCACTAAAATGACAGTAAAGGAAGGAGAGGAGAAAAAGTAGAAACCCTTAAGAACAAAAAGAAAAGCAAAAAGGAGATAACAGTACATGAGAGATGTAACTAAACTGAAAGATAAAAACGTGATGGATGGGGAGGCACTGACTTAGTTGACTAGAGAAAACACACCTAAATACCTACAAGGGCACAAATATTACCAAACTGACACAAGAAGATTTGAACACTGCTGCATCAATAAAAGAAACTGAATTATTACAAATATTTCCATGAAGAAATATTCAGGCCCAAAAGACCTCTCTAGTAATTTTTTTATACAGGTTATTTTTATTTCACAGTAAGTAATTTCGTCCTATTTTTTAAGTAAACTCTACCCCCAATATGGGGCTCAATCTTACAACCCCAAGTTCAAGAGTCACATGCTCTAATGACTGAGTTAGCCAGATGCCCCTATAGTAATTTCTTTCAAGCTTTTAAGAAAGAGCAACACACTTATTTTCCCAGAAAATAAAAGAAGGGGAAATACCCTGCACTGACTTCGCAAAGTAAAGAGTATCTGGATTCCAAACCTGACAATGACACCCAAGGAAGGAAAATTACCACTCTCATGGAGACAAATATAAAATCCTAAATAAAATATCAGCAAATCAAATCCAGTAATATGTAAAGAAAAATATATACTAATCGAGCAGAGTTTATTCCAAAAGAATCAACATTTAAAAATCATAAATATAATTCACAAAACAAATACTTTGCAACAAACAGAAAACAGTAACAAATACTGTTCAGGGGCACCTGGGTGGCTCAGTCAGTTAAGCGCCTGACTCCTGATTTTGGCTCAGGTCATGATTTCACAGTTCCTGAGTTAGAGCCCAGCGTTGGGCTCTGCACTGACCGTGTGGAGCCTGCTTGAGATTCTCTCTCTGCCTCTCCCCTGCTTGTGTGTTCTCTCTCTCCTTCTCTAAATAAACTTCTAAAAATGTCTTTAAAAATTAAAAAAATAATTTTTAAAAATTTAATAAATACAGTAGACATTAATCCAACTACATCAATAATCACTCTGAACATCAATGGTTTAGGTGCACCAATCAAAAGACAGAGTTGTCAAAGTGGATCAAACAA